AGTAATCAAAATGGGGTAAGATAAACGCATTATAAAGTAATTTGACAGAGTCAGCCGGAATATATGGTTTCACCCGGCGAATAATACCCAATTTTGCTTGTAAAGTACTCACAACCTTGTCTATCTGATCAGCCCATTTCATCTCATCATCAATGATCACCCCTAGACATTTGGTTTTATGAACTCTTTTCAGAACAATGTCATTTACCTCCACTCTGAAATCGACGACGTCTTTGAGTTTTGCTCTAGATCCTATGATCATCACATTGGTTTTATCATAATTTAAAACAAGACGATTTGTATTCAGCCAGCTAGAGATCTGCATCAAGGCAACAGATAATTTGTGTTCGACATCCGCAGTCGTCTTGCCATTAACTGTGAGAGTTGTGTCGTCGGCGTACATGTCAACAATACCATTATTAACCGACGAAGGCATAGAGTTAACATAAATAGAGAACAACAGTGGGCCTAGGATAGAGCCCTGTGGAACACCATTCACAACACTCTGAGATTCGGAATAGGCTTTGTTCAAATAAACTCTTTGTGTGCGACCTGACAGGTAGCTAGCAAACCACTTCAGAGCACTCGCTGAACAGCCAAGTGAGCTTAATTTAGTCAAAAGAATTTCGTGGTTGACTGTATCGAAAGCTTTTCTGAGGTCTATGAAAGCCACTCCTGTCAGGTCGCCACGTTCAACATTCCTGCTTCATTGATTGACCAGTTTGACAAGAATTGTGGTTGTGGAGTGCATTGGGCGAAATCCTGACTGATTAGGATGCATTAGATCATGTTCATTGATAAATTCATACAACTGATCACAAACGGCTCGCTCTAAGATCTTACTTACAATTGGCAAGATAGAAATGGGACGATAGTTACCTACATCAGAGGTATTGCCAGACTTAAAGATTGGTACCACTTTGGCACTCTTCAATCCTTCGGGAACATGTCCATGCATCAAGGACATATTTATGATTTTGGTTAAGGAATGAAGGATGGCAGGGCAAGCAACTTTTAGTAAACGACAGCTGAGTTGATCATCCCCTGTAGCTTTGTTAACATTCATAGTCAGGAGAGTTTTTTCAACAAAAGCAGGCGAGACCGGCCTGAGATTAAAAACACAATCGTTACCACCTGATACATCGGTGAACACAGTAGGTGTTGTGACAGGCAAGTCTTTTGTGACGTTTTGCGCACAAGTTACAAAATAATCATGAAATGCATTAGCAATCTGATCACTGTCACTGCAGTCTGATCCATTGACCTCAATCGAACTGGGGAGAATACGGCCTTGCTTCGGGGTTACTTCTTTAAGGCAACTCCAGATCTTTTTGCTGTTACCAGCATTATCACGGATCAGACCACAGTAATGATCAGTCTTTTGCTTCTGCATCATGTGTGTTACTTTATTACGTAAACATCTATACTCATTCCATAAATTCTGACAATTATGTTTGACGGCAGCCTTATGGATCTGATCACGTTCTTTCATCAGCTTAACAATGTCGTCTGTGATCCAAGGACAAGCATTTTGCCTAATTTTCTTTTTACAGAGTGGAGCATGCAGGTTCACAATTTCCATAAAACTATTTAACCAGGTTTGCCAGGCTAGTTCAATGTCAGTTATGTTAACAATAGCATTCCAAGGTACATTTTCCAAATCATGAATAAAATCTTGGACAATCATCTTCTTGAATGGTCTATACTCAATATAATTATGACCTTGTTGAGTGGATGATTTAAAATTAAAACAACGAACTGAATAAGTTAAAAAATGATCACTTATACTAGTACAAAATACACCATTATCAGTAAAAACATCTGGATTATTTACAAATATTAAGTCGATGAGAGTGTTGCTATGACTGGTGACCCTTGTAGGGCTGGTGATCACTTGAGCAAATCCATATAGAGAAGTATAAAATTTCAAGTTATCAGTATTGATATTAGTGACACCATCCATAAAATTACAGTTAAAATCACCCAATAAAATGCACTCCTTGTTTTCAGTTGAGGCGGTTGCTAAGACTTCATCTATTTTATCAAAGAAATCAATACTCGTGCTCGGTGGCCTATAAAATGCACCAACAAGGACAGGCGATTTATATTGATTATACTTCACTTCAATCCACACACTTTCAAGAGCCGCAGACTCAAGATTATGTCGCCTGGTAACCTGGACATCATTTGAAACATAAATAGCTACACCGCCACCATGTCTAGTTCTGTCACTTCTTAGTATGGAGAAACCGTCAATACATAACTCCTCATCCGAGATACTAGAGTCACACAGCGTTTCGTTCAGACATATAACATCGAAAGGTCTATGCTTCAGCAAGAGACGAAGTTCGTCTATCTTACTATTATACAAATCTTTGCTCCACATTATTGTGGATGAGAATGTAATAAGGTAAGATTCAGGATTAAGATTAGGATTAATATATTTTGGACAACCCACATTTTACCCAGATGGGCCCCACAGCTAACCCATATGGGTTATCTGGGCTGGCCCATATGGGTCCCATAAGGATCTTGGGTGCAAAATTATCTGGGGCCCATATGGGTCCGCCCATATGGGACCCATATCTTGGCCCAGATGGGACCCATTAGAGCTTCCCCATATTTTACCCAGATGTTTGCCCAGGCGGGCCCCAGACATAACCCATATGGGTTTATCTGGGCTGGCCCATATGGGTCCCATAAGAATCTTGGGTGCAAAATTATCTGGGGCCCATATGGGTCCTCCCATATGGGACCCATATCTTGGCCCCTATGGGGCCCATATGCCATATGCCACCCCATATGATTCAAAAGTCGCGAAGCCTGTACGATATGGATTATGTCAGCCGCGTTTTTCGCAAAAAAAACCCTGTACGTATCTGTGGTTGTAAAGGCACGAAAGGGGTACGTACATTTAATACAAATCTTTGCTAATTAACACAACGTCCAAACGTTGTGTTTGAAAGGATTGATTCTTCAAAATCACAACTTTTAACATTTTAAAGATGGCGTTGGCACGTAAAACGGATAAACTGCAGCCCTAATTATAATGTACCGTATTTTGGTACATTTAAATTACACAATTCCAGGGGTTAGATCGCGCAAGGCATGATGGGAAACAACATGGCGCTGCAAGATCGTACCCACGGGGCACGAGGTTGCTTCAAAGCGTCTCCGCGCGCAGAATGACGAGTTAGCGCTCTAGTAATTTATTATAGCTCTATGGACTTGATCAATCTGCCATCGGCACCCCCCCCCCTCGAGTGAACGCACACGTATTCATCGACGCATATGCAGCAACGTTGCTTGACCAATCAAAGTAACCAATTTTTGAAGACTCGTTTGTTATTTTCAGTAGGTATGGAAGGCTGGATAACAATCTGCAAAAGTTTTAAAATCGTACTCTTAATTTGTAGATTTCAAACACATGATATTTGGATGATTATGTTAAGATCATCCGTTCTTGGATGAAATTGATAAAGAACACGACATTCAAATGTTATTCAAAACAAAAGGGAATTTTTGTTGTGGTTTACCTTTAAATATGTTGAGATCCATTAATAGCGCCACGTGTTGTGCGTACCCAGAGCCGTTTCAAAGCATTCGAACGTAAGCGTGCGTGTGTCTGTTTCTATCATAGAGCTATATTAAAGCTACAGTCCATCATTTGTAATTTGTGCATTTTGTTCTTTTGGAGTAACAAGAGAGTTCAAAATCTCATGAAGGATACTGAGCAACTAACCTGATGAAGATTCAGCTAAGCTTCAGCTGTACATTCCGAGAAAAACAGCATTCTAAGATCTCAATTTCAAATCAAAAGTTACGAAATCATGTTTTGAATTGTTTTGAATTGCAGCTATACGCGACGTCGTGCACTGATCCGACGAATTATAACAACCGCGCGCGCGTGTGCGTCGTTAATAACAAAACGAACTACTAATTTAAATTTTCCTACGGTGCTTCTTAAGAATCACCGTTGGAAATGCCTTCTTTCGTTGATTACTTCAAAATGACAACTTCCGAGAAAGAATAATTTCACAGGGAGTTTAGTTCCCTTATAAGGGAACTAAACTCCCTGTGGAATTATTCTTTCTGGGAAGCTGTCATTTTGAAGTAATCAACGAAAGAAGGCATTTCCAACGGTGATTCTTAAGAAGCACCGTAGGAAAATTTAAATTAGTAGTTCGTTTTGTTATTCAGCGCAGCGCGCACAAGTATTGGAACGACGCACACGCGCGCGCGGTTGTTATAATTCGTCGGATCAGTGCGCGACGCCGCGTATAGCTGCAATTCAAAACAATTCATAACATGATTCAGTAACTTTTGATTTGAAATTGAGATCTTAGAATGCTACTTTTCTCGGAATGCACAGCTGAAGCTTAGCTGAAACTTCATCAGGTTAGTTGCTCAGTATCCTTCATTAGATTTTGAACACTTTTGTTGCTTCAAACGAACAAAATGCACTAATTACAAATGATGGACTATAGCTTTAATCATGGAGGTATCTACATTGTATGTCTGTACCATGTTACACAAGGGCGGATGGGGGGGGGGGGGGGGCGCCAACGGGGGCTATGCCCCCCCAAAAAAAACCCCCAAATAACCGAACCCAATTTATTTTAGTGATATCGCTATAAAGCTTGGCAGGCACTGCGTACACCACCATCTTTTCCTCCTAACTTGAAAAAATGCTCAAAGTTGTCAGAAATTACCGCAAGGCGTTTTAGAATCCAAACAATTTTCGGGGCCCTATCGGGCCCCAAACCCCAACCCGTGATCTTTTTGACACACTTTTTGAGGGACCGATTTTTTTTGCCCCCCAAAAATTGTGTTCTGGATCCGCTCCTGCATCTATGTTAATAATGAATTGGCAAAACATACCTCAAAGATGGCTCTTGAACAAGTGACCAACGACTGCATTGGAGACTACGCATTTAATTATGTGACAGCTACATGCTATAGCGTCGCCGCATGTGGCGCTATACTTCGACTACTGGTATCGGCCATGGTATATCGGCCGGGTTGAAGGTGCCGCGCGCGCTGCTGATGCAATGCATGAAGACTTGCTGGTCTATTCTGGCTCTGGCATGTCTGGTGGGGAATGCTGCGCAAACACCTCCTAAATGGTTATCTCGCACAGGTTAGTTGCTTCGTTGTCCATTTGTCAGCTGTCAGTTTGCAAGGAACCTTAAGGTACAACTAACATTATACATTACTAGAAATGTAGAATACACTGATTTTTACTCGGGCACAATTGCACAATTGCAGAATACCCCGCCACTTACCTATTCCCACCTCGTATCCGGATACGCGGATACGGAGTCACGCTTGGATGCTCAACCAAAACCACACGCGTGTGCCACCCCGTATCCCCGTATCCACTTCCCGGCACCTACTTTGTACTCCTAGTCCTAGAACTATGACGAGGCTCCACGTACATGTACATGACGTAGCTCCACTACGTGGAGCCTCATACTAAGTTCTAGGAGTACCTACTTTCATGACTTTGGACTTACACGTTTTTCCCCTGCTCGAGCTCCCCATTCAACTCACGTTGTCTCTGCCTTCGTTAACATGAATACCAACATGGATCATATGGTTATGGATGCTTTGTTCTCAAAAATATTTTCCTCCGCTAAAAAATAACGCAGTGGCTATCGTTATGTATGGCAGCCTTAATGCATTTCCCATTTTCTTTCGTTACGGTAGACTGCAACTTTTATAAAAACATGAGAAGAAAATATAAAATTAGAAGGAAAAAAAGTGAATTTGAACGTTATGAAATTTGGACTTTGTTTCCCTTTTAAAAAAAATGCTCCAAAGCCTCAGGTTAGAAAAGGAAAAAAGTTTGAGTGCAAAACTGAGATGTGAATCTGCAACCTCGCGGTGCAAAATCCTACCCTCTAACTCTATCGACTGAGCTGTCGCACTAGGCCTACTCGCTAAAACGTGGGGAAACAAATAATTATATACCTGTGTGCGTATCAAAAAAGTATCGTAGAGGGCGCTAAACAACGGCTGCCGTAACGATAGCCACTTCGAAAAAATAAAGTCCACCCCGTATCCGCGTATCCACTTCCTGGCACCTACTTTGGACTTACATGTAGATTTATTTAACCCCTGCTTCCCATTCAATTCACGTTGTCCCTGCTGGCCGCATTTCTAAATACAGGGAAATAGCGCCCTCTTTAGACCCTCCAGCGCTCAAATCCACCCCGTATATTGTATCCGCGTATCCACTTCCCGACATATACATGTAGGCCTACTTTGGACATTTCTGCAACATTTTCCGACTGCGTAGCCATTTATTTTTGGGGGTAATTTTCACGTGGCGGGGTATTCTGTAATTAGTCCTTTAGATACTAGCTCTACTGAGTGGAGCGTTGAACTACGGTACCTTCCGTACAAACGCTCCACCAATTTGGCATTACTAGACACTGTAGGATACATGTATGTGCACAAATTTATGTTTGGCCTCATGGTTCATGCACCATTTTCAGTCCCATCCGCAGATAAAAAGAACTGCCCTGGTATCATTGCCAGCATATATGTAGACCACAAGTTTGGCTGCATTGTGTATGTGGTTACTGTAATCATGCTTTTGGTCGTGTACACACATTAGTGCATTCGTTACATGTAAGTTTGTCTTTTTATGTGATATTCATGTTGTTTTCTTACACTTTTGTCATCACAGTGGGTACGTGTATGCAAACATGTCTGGATAAGAGAATCTTAGCATGTTCAAGAAAGTACTGCCTAAGCCAACTGATGTGTCCTGCCTAGGTAGGGCTCAGATATGTCTACATGTATATCACCATCTCCGTCTTTCCTGCTGTACTGAATTGTTGTACACCAGTCAGTGTAATTCATCAGTGGATCCCCCACAACAACCCGTGCAAGATGACAACCCTGCTCAGTTAATAAGGGAGACAAACTGCCTTGTATGCCAAGGTGTTGAGTCTGGGAACAATCAAAGAATGGCTCAGTGTGGCACTGGAGCACTCATCAGGTCGTCTGGTGCAAAAAACATTGGAAGCCAGTGCATGCACTACCTTGGTCAGCTTCTGCAGTTACGGCGATGGAAAAGTGGTCATTCAGTAGCACCTGCATTGGGTCATGTATACCCAGGTAACGGAGGAGGAAGTCGAGATTTGAAAAGGTTTCTGGAAGAGGTGAGTTGGAAATAAAAGCAGAAATACTAAAAAATGATTTTGTATAATATTTTAAGTGCATAATGATGTATGTAAATTTTTAATAAGGGAATAACTTAATAAAACTTTGTAAGTCAATAACGATGCAGGAGAGGCATGTGACCATGTATTATAGACTGCTAATGTTTGAATATGAGGCTCTATACAGTGTAGACCTACATGTGTATTTGGGGAAATGGATCATTCTGTTCCAAATTGTTAAAATATGTCTGTAACCAACTCGCATTTGTGTGAAATTTTTGAAAAGATGAGTAACACTAAACAAATTTGAGTTCCAAACTGAAATTTCAAGTAAAATTCAGTTTTGGCTCTCTGAGTGAGCCTACCTCCTTTTTCCATTTTCAATAGCAATATCAGTAAAAAGTTGTTTACACTCTAAATAGGGCACAAAAATTAATTAATGCACATATACATGTATCCTTTTTGCAGAGGAATTCTTCTTTCATGACATAACTCCCACTTTCAGGTCATGTTGCACATGGATCATTTAATTCTTGTGGTTAACCTTAGGTTGGTACAAATCCCAAGGAAGCCCGATATTGGTTGAAGCAGTTTCAATTGGTAGGAGGTTCAACACCATCCAGGCCATTTGCTGTAGTACAAGTTGATCAAGAGATATTCCAGCATTCTCAGCAGGTGGGTTGGTGATATTCAGTCACATATATACATGTACATGTATATATTGTATGCCTTTTTCTCATAATTATAGAGAAAAAAAATATGTACATGATCCAAGTGATGTTCTTCAAAGGAAGGTCTACTCGGACCATCTTTGAACATCACCAAAAAAGCATAAAATTGTCATTAAAGTTGACATGATAGGACATCTTACAAAAGAGATCATTGTTATACATTACTAAACCCTAACCCTCCAGGGCTGGGTATTTTGGCTAGAAACCCTGCTAGACAAGCCTGTGCCCCCCCCCCCCCCCCCATTTACCCAAATGCCCCTCTTGCCAACATAAATGTGCCCCCTCGAGCATAAATGTGTCAACATTTAAGCACGGATGTGCCCCCCTCCCCCAAAAAAATACTGGATATGCTGCTGCACTGACGAAGATGCCTTTTTTTACTGAGCAAGTGCCCCTTTTTGGTAATGCCCCCCCCTCCCCCAGTTTAAAAACCGTTCCACTGCTGCTGGGGACTAGCTCCCATTGTCTCAGAAGTGACCATTTACATTCAGTGGCACACCCAGGATTTAGCTTGGGGAGGGGGGCTCACAAGTGTTCTTAAAATTTTTTTTAGAAGTTTGAATTTTTCAAAAAATGTTGCCCAAAATTGTTTGCTGCAGAAAAAAAGTTGCAAACAGGATTTTTTGGGGGCCACATACATATCACCACGGTCAAAAAATTGACCCCCCTCTAAAAAAACACACAAATTGACAATCTCACAAAAATAAAATAAACTGACAACAAATTGAACCCCCGGGACCACGCACGCATTGAAGTCGTTGCTGTGCACGTATCGTGGTCTCCATTATCAATAACCCAAACGTGATGATACAATTCGAGAATTAATTTGCTGGATTCAACTCAAGCATTAACCCTTACCCTACTTGACCCTCCAATGCATGCCAATTGTGCCTCAAGAAAATCTCCTATGTTTTTTGCATGGCCCTCCAATATCTGCCATGTCATTTCAAGGGTAACTGGACAGGCACTCCAATACATGCCACAGAGAACAATGAGAGTCCTCTGATAACAAAGTGAGTGCCCCAGCTGGTCAGTATCAGGCACCCTCCAGGGCCTCCAACTCCTGCCAATTGGAGCCTTCACTGTTAAGACTTGTTATCTGCCAAATAACTGCAGCTGGAGGGCATTGGCATAACCAACTGACATGCAGTAAACTACCCTCAGAGAGTAAGGGTTAAGGAGGTAATTCAGGGTAAATCAAAGCCAATGAGTGCAATGAATCATGTGTGCAAAAGACCATTTATGTAAGTTGGCAAAATGAAGACTTACAGCAGATATCGGCATTCGCGTAAGTCGTCACAAATTCTCGGGTCCCAATGGTGCTGGTTTAGCCGGAGTTTACTGTATTCATGTACATCGTACAGTGTATAAATGCATGAGTTTGAATGGAGGTTGTGTAAAGAAAGAGTACAATGGAAATCCTTGTTTGACATTAAATTACAGACACTTATAATCCAGCACTAGCCAACTGGAGGATGTGGAGCAGTTTGCCGAGTTGGGGATGGTACAACCCTGGATCATACGTACTACATATACAAATTTATAACACACCTCTTGCTTGTTCTTTATCCTGGTTGGCTGAAACGTGGTCACGTGTGATTCACTACTGTAGGCTAGTGTATGAAACTTGCGTCAGCGTGAACTAGATGCGCGTCGAGACATCGCACACGTAATTTCCAGAGTAGAGTGCCTGGTCGGGCACTATACTTAAAAATGTTTGACTGGTTGTTACCAGTCAAACATTTTTGAGTATAGTTTTGTCAGCGCCCTCTGACAAAACTCAAACTCAAAAATTTAATCTAGGGAAACTAAAAGCGTTCCATTAATTGTTGAATTGCTTACGATTGAATTGCTTATGAGTTAATTGTTGAATTAAAACAGTTCAGTAATAAAACCCTGAAAGGTTTCTTTTCTTATTATATATTTTGGACAGAGGTGAGTTATAAAACACATATGGACTGGCATAATTCGGTCACTAGTACATTGTACACATGTTTGCCCCCTCGGGCCTGTGAGTGACCAGAAGAGGGTCCTATTTCCCTCGGCCTTCGGTCTCGGGAAACCCTCTTCTGGTCACTCACAGTCCCTCGGGGTGCATAGACGTGCACTAGTGACCGAATTATGCCAGTCCATATGTGTATAATATAGCCTTGTATTTCCAGTAGCCAGTGGTAACATGAAGACATCAGAAAGAATTGAATAATTGCTCCGAATTTTACAATGTAGTTTGAGATCTATAGTTATACTGTGCATGTATGATCAGTTACAATTTCCATTGCAATTCTCTCCAGCTGAAGGCCCTGAGTTCTACCCTTGCCTTTCTACATCGTAACGACATGAAATTGCTTGTTGTCCATGGAGCTAATCTGCCTGATGATAAATACTTATCCGATCAGGAGTTGCAGGTACAGTAACTTAGTGTTTCTTTCACTAGACATTTAAATTATTTCTCCATCTTTTCATTAATTGTGACAAATATGAATTGAGTTAGTCAGGCTAATTGATGGCTGAGTACGGCCATGCCACAGCCCACCTTAAATGAAGCTCACTAACGTGTCCATATCAAAACCTCATGAATCAATGTGATGAGATTGTCTCTGTACACTTATTTAATGAAAATGCACACTGAAGCACAAAATAAGTTAGTTTATCTACAGGTACACCTACACTGCACCTACTTACAGTGTATAGTAAGTTTTATATTACTGGCATACAGATCCTTGTCATTTGATTGGTGGAACTCACATCATGTGACATTCATTATTGCTCCCATTCACTCCGGGGCTCAAAAAGTCCCATTCACCATGGGCGAATTTACTATTTAACAGTTAAGATCATCCTTGTTCTGTGGCCCAGTATTTGTGTGTAAATGCATGCTGGTGTGCGCGTTGAGCATTGCGGGTAGTGCGTTTTGTTCCCAAGAGCCAGTAGCTACAGAGTTCGGTTCAAACATTTCGTGAAGGGGTGGTTTGGAAGAGAGAAATGCAATTCTCATCAATTTTGTATTGAAATAGAAATTCATTTTAACTGTAAATCATATGACAAAGATATCTGTATGTCAGTTATATAAAACAAATATTGAGTAGCTTTATATTGTGACATGGGAGGAATATTATCGCTCAGTAAAATCTGGCTTTTTCCATAGAAAAGTCCAGATTGCACCTTGTGACAATATTCCTCCCATTCCAGTCTGAGCCACTCAATATTTGTATAATAATCAAATATCATTTGCTTTAGACCTTTGAACATTACACATATGTGTACATGTACATTATTGTAGTTCTATAGTACATTTATGTGTAGTTTAAAATCACAAACTTGATGATATTACTGATTTGAATTTTGAAAATTTGGCAGAGCTATGTACATATACATACACCTATACAATTACACGGAAATATATGATAATAAATAATAATAAATGAAATAATAACATAAAAATAAAAAAGCTCTCATGAAGTTGAGATTTTCTTAATTTTTTAAATCCCAAAGTATGTAAGTTTTCCAAATGAACCCTGTACAAATTTATCACTATTTGGACAGTCCTTTAAATTGTTCCAGCTTTGGAGTTACTCTAGGGAAGAAGTGAGTCTTACATGTGCAGCACATGAAAGGAGACAGTGAAGGACTGTAGAAAAATTGAAGGATTTCACACAAGGATCGCCTGTATTTCTTCTAGACATCAATCATTTTTGTTATTACATGTACACTCAACAATTTACTGTTCAAGTTATGAGATCAATGAAGTGATCAGTACAGGTTCTTGGTAATGCAAGGCCTTACGACATGAATCTGTTATGTGTTAGTTATATATGTTGCACATAAACTACACAAGCTTGAAAATAGTTCATAGTATACAATCATGTATGTAAATTGGTTTGACACCGTGCCCTTCTCAACTCTGTCACGTCATTTTGTACCTAAACATAGCCAACTGGTTAATTTCATTCCACAGAACAGTCGTCATCAAGTAACAACAGAAACTATGGTGATGGTTAACTTCCTGGAAGCCAGTGGGGCTCCTGCACATCCCATTTTTTCGGGGAGTAATGTCCTACGAGCTGAAAATGTTGGAAGAGGGACTAAGGGGAAGGTTATCAATGTCAACAAGGAGGCACTAGAATGGTGCATCAGGTACTGACCTTGAATGCTATACATGTATTCATAAATACCTAGGACAGTTTACCTATTCCTATTGGTTGAAAGCCCATCACGTGGGTTGTTTTAAACCACCGTTTAAACACCGCTCAGTGTTAAAATTTGGGACCCCTGCTCCGCACCACATGCGCGCAGAACACGCCGCATGCGCTAGCTTGAGAACCAGACTATGCACATCGCCTGCACCATAGAATGGACCTGAACATAGAGTAAAATAGTAGAACGCATTCACGCAATGAGAAAGTTTGTCAACTTTTTCACCTATTATGGTTTTTGACTGAAAAGGTATTTAAACGCTTATAACTGTTCCTCACACTATGGTCCTTTCATTATGCTCTTAATTTGCCTATTGCAACAAAATATTATGTACATTATACACGTACAATTATTTGTCTGCCCCTGAGGGTGTTTAAAACCTGCAGACTAGATCTCAAGAGACAGTTTTTTGGTTCTACCACGGTTAGTTTTAACAGCTTTTTAAAGTCTTTGAGAAGTAATAAAAGGATAAAATCAATTTTACATCCTGTTTGAAATACTGTTGCCATAACTGGGCAAATGCCCCAGCTCAGCTATGTGTAGTTAATTCCAGAGTTGTAATGACTCGACTCGAGTCCGACTCGAGTCACAGTTTATGGTGACTCGACTCGACTCGAGTCTTTGTGGGTAAAAGACTCGACTCAACACGAGTCACTGCGAGCAAATGACTCGACTCAACTCGAGTCCCTCATCAGGAGACTCGACTCGAGCGACCGCTGATAAGACTCGAGTCCCAAAAAATAAATGCAAAACTTTGCAAAAAATATTTGCAGTGACTTACGGAGCAAAATGTATGTTCGGCGTCATTTTGCGAACACAGTAAGGTACAGCGGCCGCTTGTCATGTACAAACATACATCGTGTCACAGACTCCCACTTTGTGGTTCTGGAAAGCACAAAATACTAGCCGGGAACCGGATTTTAAACACATTTTCCAATTTTTAGTTTCATTATTGGCTGTGGGCAATTTTTCATAAGTCATTGTTCCCAATTCATCCAGTTTCTTCCCATGTACTGGCTCACTCTGGAACTCCTTACCTGTATCCTGTTTTCCAGTTGATAATAGTCTGTCCCAGTTCAAGCGCAACGTCAATACTGATCTTTCTACTTGAAGTAACTTTTCTTTTTCTTAGATTTACTTTGATCCCTTCTTTGTGTAGCCCTTACGTCAAGTGGCTCTTAAATAGGGCCTTGTGATGGGAGACGCTCATTTAAAAAAAAAGGTGAAAAGGTTCTATGTGTCATACAGACTGTTATATTAGCACCTAGGGTGTGAAGGTGCTGTGTGTCATACAGACTGTAATAGTAGCACCAATGCCATGAAGGTGCTGTGTGTCATGCGGACTGTAATAGTAGCACCTAGGACGTGAAGTTGCTGTGTGTCATACAGACTGCAATAGTAGCACCTAGGATGAGAAGGTGCTGTGTATCATACAGACTGTAATAGTAGCACCAATGCCATGAAGGTGCTGTGTGTCATACGGACTGTAATAGTAGCACCTAGGACGTGAAGTTGCTGTGTGTCATACAGACTGCAATAGTAGCACCTAGAATGAGAAGGTGCTGTGTATCATACAGACTGTAATAGTAGCACCAATGCCATGAAGGTGCTGTGTGTCATACAGACTGTAATAGTAGCACCTAGGACGTGAAGGTGCTGTGTGTCATACAGACTGCAATAGTAGCACCTAGAATGTGAAGGTGCTATGTGTCATACAGACTGTAATAGTAGCACCTAGGACGTGAAGGTGCTGTGTGTCACACAGACTGTTATAGTAGCACCTAGAATGAGAAGGTGCTGTGTATCATACAGACTGTAATAGTAGCACCAATGCCATGAAGGTGCTGTGTGTCATACAGACTGTAATAGTAGCACCTAGGACGTGAAGGTGCTGTGTGTCATACAGACTGTAATAGTAGCACCTGGGACGTGAAGGTGCTGTGTGTCATACAGACTGTAATAGTAGCTACAGGTATAGTACTTTGGTTTCTACGGGTACAGTACTTTTGGCCTGCACAGCAAGATACCAAAAATAGCGAATACCATGTGACTCACTCTCGGCCAATCAATATACAGAAACTGTTGGTGAGTTGTTATATAATAGCACCTAAGGCGTGAAGGTGCTGTGTCATTGTAACATACATGTATTTTATATATTACCGCTATACTTTAAAGAAGAAAGGATGTGTGTTTGTGCGTGTTTATGGTGTAAATCGAGGACACACATGTGCAGCATCATCGAGTAAATGAAGACAGGAGTCAAATCAAGGACGTTTTCGATTAGAAAATGTGTACAAAACCAATGGGAGCTGTTGCAAAAAAGTTAAGAGTATGAACAAAAGACCGATGATGAGGAACAATGGAAAATCCTTGATTAACAGCATAAAAAAACCTGCTTGAGTATATGTGTGTGTTCACAAGTTGTTTATGAGTTGCTCGACTGTGAAGAAGGCGACAGGTGGCAAAGCCGCCTCCCTGCGCAGGGCGAGGCCAGAGCCTCATTACCATACTTAAAATATAATTAAACTGCTGACAGTGTCTTGCATTCTGCAATATGGCTGCAATATATGCACCTCAGCACCTCGTAAACCCTTATAAAGGTGCTTCATAATGGGTCTCATGTTTCTCATAAACTTTATTTACCTGCCTTTAAAAGTAGACATAATTACCAGCGCCTGGTAGATAGTGATACGTGTGCTATTTAAGACTCCGGTATTATTATTATTATTTTAATTCGTTTGTATTCAGTTCTGGTCACATCCCTGTGTTGAGCTCTATTGGAGAAACGAGCAGTTCTCAGCTGGTCAGTATAGATGCAGCACATGCCACAGCAGAAGTAGCTAAGGCTGTTCAAGCAATGAAAGTGTTGTTTTTGAACACAACAGGAGGATTACGAGACCGTTCAGGGAAGGTGAGGAAGAGTTTCTCTAGCTGTTTGATAGACATTTTTACATGGTTTCCATATTGTCTTGTATAACGAGAATTATCTTCAAGCAAACTTGATTCTCGATCCTGATTGGTCGATCCATGGCAACAACAGTGTGATATCCCATATACCAAAGTCTATATCGCACTCCGCGCATCGAACTATTCTACGATGCATGCGCCATTCCTAATGCACACACAGGTAATTGGATAACCGCTGGAAAGTTTGTGTACAGTGTGCCTATTTCATCTTTACTGTGTGTCAAGTTTGCTGGAAGATAAATCCGTTATCCCATTCGCGCTCATGGAAAATGGAAAAAGTAGTACGTCTGTGTTGTATATGCCACTCAGCCTTCAGCCTCTTTTCATATAGAACACCGATGCACGATATTGTTCCATCGCGCTCATGGTATAACTAATAATGTACTTACTGTTAATGCATGTATCCGCTGTCAAGAGTATAATGCCAAGCCAATATTTTCCATACATGAACATGCATGAATTATTACTGTATGTGGCAACTTCAAATCCACATTTAATGAAATATATGTCCATAAAACGCAGACCAATAGGACACAAAAATTACACATATGCGTGTACACACAGCTTTATATTGCATTGATGCATCTGTATGATATATTTTATCTAATGAAACCATCTCAAAATCATTGGACATAGTGACTGTATTTGTTGTAAGGTTTTGGATTCAATGTCACATAGATCCTATGAATTGTGTACTGATACAAAACAATTTCAGGGACAACAGAACTCACAATCGAATGCAGGATGGTAAAAACTTGTCGGATATTGAAAGGCCAAGTCATAGAAATTCCAGTTAATTATCAAGTTTTTTTTTAAAAGAGTAGGAGGGCCCTTGTATTTTATATTTTGTCTGCCAGTAGCTTTTGCATTCAAAATGGCTGACAACTTTTCAGTTCAAAATGACTGCCAGTTTTTTATTAAGTACATTGTATGCTACCAATAATCCACACATGTTCTATTGTGATTTAACCCAATATGGGTGTTCTTTTCAATTGCATTTTCACTTCAACAATACTAACAAACATCTCTACAAAAGCAATGGTCCCAAAGATCGATGATGCCAAATAAATGAACTTGTTTTCATGTTAAGGGACCGAAAAGCTCAATTTACTTTTTAACAAAATGGTTAAAATATTGATCAAAAGATTATGAATTTCTAACGTATGAGGGGGGTAAGTCTTCAAGGGAAACTTCAATTTAAAAAGAAAGAGTCAATAACCGCCAATTTCTCAATCTCTACACGTGCGTTTGTGTCCCTCGTATAGAACGAAACATGTGCGATGGCCTAGATCGTATAAAGTGAATGGTCAATTTTTGGCGAATGTGAACAGATCAACCAATGAGAGGATTAGTATCATACCACATCAGATGGTCTGCTATTTGTTGGTAGAATGTCAAATATCCATGACTTAGGGTCTGGTTCCCGTTCGCAAATGTAATTTTACATGCGTACACGTGACGTAGTGGTACCATAAATGGTACCACTACATCGGTTGTATATACATCCGATACTCCTTTTATTATCGAATTTGAAAAGTGTAATTGGCACAAGTTTGATTTTAAAAATACTTTATAAAAGGATGCGGCTTTAAAAAAGGATGCAGGCGGGGACGATCAACTGGTAATTTTGTAAACTTGGCCTAATTAAAAAAATAGGGGGGCCTATTTAGTAAAAAATCCTACATGATTTATTAATGAAAGCCTTTTGTTTTGTTGATGGCAGGGGCAACTTACCTAAGCACCAAAGATTCAAACAGAACTGACACAGTTAATTAAGCATCGTATTTTGCATCATACTGAGTCTGCTGCATGTTGATTAGTGAGAACATTTGTTAATTTTTACGTCGTGACATGGACAGAGTGGTGTTATCAATGTATGTGATAAGATCATTTTCTAAGTGTTTTCAGGTAATTTGCAAATGAACCATGGACCTTTATACTGGTGTATTTGTACGGCTTTCTTTCTCACTGTATTAGTCTGCAGAATCCATGGGGACTCAACAAGCAAGTCCTGATTATTGTATGTGGATGTTCAGTTTTAAACTGAAGACTGAGAAAACAAATTTGTGTCATGATGAAGAAGACTGAATAATAGTGATCTGAAGCAAACCCAGTTAAGAGAGAAGAAGCTTAAAAAGCCTCACAAGTCATAACACTTGTCAAACACACTCTGTGCATAGCTTTGACAAACTCATATATAACACTGACATTCTGATTTCTTCATTTTTGTTTTAGATAATAGAGGAGGTTCATATACCAGCAGATCTGGATGCCTTGATGAAGCAGTCGTGTAGTAGCCAAGACCATAGAACCAAAGAGCTAGTATCTGGTCTGGTAGCTGATCTCCCTCCATTGTCTAGTGTAGTCATCACATCAGCTAGGACTATCCTCACAGAGCTGTTTACACATCATGGTTAGTTCATTATCACCTTGCTCATTTCCATATACATCTACATATATTGTGTAGAATAAAAAAAGGGTTGCTGCATAGCGCTGATCAGTTGTATAGAAAACATAAAGATAAAACAGTTCTCACCAATAACATGGAGCCAAATTTTCGGACGGTCCGTAATTTGTCAAGGCTGGGTGGTAACTGCCGCGTCAGACATATGGAATGGAGTGAATTCCACGATACTGTGTGGAGTCAGTGTACTGAGCTGGAAAGTGATACGCTGCTTCATGCATTCGCGTTTCATGTCGGTTCTCATGACAACCAGGGCACACACACTCATGTCATCAATGGTGTTGTTTGATGTGGAGAAGTGTTGCGCCACCGCTCAGCCATGGGTACATTGCTTGACGCTTTGGAAGTGCTCGGTGAATCTGCTGGCCAATTGCCGCTTCATCTCGGGAAATGTATAGAAGGCCACATCGGGTGCAGGTGATACAGTATACAATATTGGCTGAAGTGCACATGAACGATCCCTTGATATGTAACTGCCCTTAGAACCCATTACATGGGAGACAGAGGGATCTACGTGGCGGCAGGTGTTGCAGCATGATTGCTTGCATGGTTCAGTCTTGCCAAGGCGGGATGGAGAAGTGCATTCAGACATGACCAGTGAGGTAATTAGATGATCACCAATGGATCCTGAACATCTGAGAGCACAGATGGGCCTACTATTTTGGTTCAAAATTGTGCCAGTGAGCGGGTCTGCCTGGGATGACATGTTGTGACAGAATGTCACACCTTTAGGTTCAGGGGGTGGAATGTGATGACGAGGGAATGCGATCATTCTGCCTGTTGGCGGCACATGGATGTAGCTCGGTTGAGGGCAGAAGAAATTGTCTTGTCTGGATAGCCATGACGCTGCAGAAGCCCTTCATTATTTAGGCTTGGACTTTGGAGTCAGACTCCTTGCTGCAATTCTGGCGGAGACAAAGAAGTTGCGCGTACGGGATGGCATTTTTGCATGAAGTAGGGTGGGTCATAATGTAAGTACGAATGATAGTCAGTTGGCTTTTAGAAGATGCTGGCCGACAGGCAGTTCTGACTGATGCTGACTACCCTATCTAGGAAGGATAAAGGCATGTTGCTGACTTCCGCTGTGAATTGAAGTGCCGGGTGGTCCTCGTTGGCAAAATTGATGAAATCAGTAACAGAATCTCCTCATGAGAACTGACGTGAAATGCAAAAGTATTGAGCAGCAGAACATCTTCCAGCTTGGTACGTTGACTCTGCACAGTATCAACGTGGAATTGAATGCGTTCCTTCTGCCTGACGGAGCAGTTGCCACCCCGCCCTGATGGACAGACTGTCCGAAAACTTGGCTGCATTTCATCAGTGAGCACTGTTTTATATATTTTTATGCCCCTTCGGCTTCGCCGCGGGGCATACTGTTTCCGCCTTTTCCTTCCGTGGGTTGGTGGGTGGGTGTGTGTGTGTGTGTATGTGTTTGTGTGTGGGTGTGTGTGTGGGGGGGGGGGGGAGGGATTATACAGCCTTTTTAAAATTCTGTTGTTGTTTCTGCTGTTTTTTTAATATATTCATGTACTCATCAGTTTACATAGTTACATGTGATTGCCTAATGCTGTCTACAACACAAGGAAATATTTGCTGCCATGTTTGACTACACATGACTGATCTATACACTGATTAGTGGGACATCTTATGTATTGCAAGCATATATCATGCTTTGTAAAACACATATCTGCATTACAGAACATAATGCATTAATACCTCATCTGAACTCTGTTCTTTATGAAATTTCATTTGTAGACTATGTTTACAGATTTTAACAATGTAAATTCTGGCATAAAGTATTTCTAGTTTTATTTATTAACAATCGACTGGAGACTTAAACCTACTGTTAATATTTGCTTAGGCTCAGGAACCATGTTCAAGAAGACGGAACGAATCTTTAAGTATTCAAGCTTAAAAGATGTGGATATTGACAGACTCAAGAAACTTCTAACAAGGTACCAAAATATACATTACCATTAACTGTAGTGCAATTCTCGTTTGCCAACAAGAGGTAGACATGCTTAATATGAGTATCAATTTGTCAGTCTGTAGGTGCTGTCTTCAGAATGGGGAATGTGACTAAAGTAATCAAGTACTGGCAACATGGTTGACAACTGTCCCCATTGTGTGAGATATTAAGGCAAGAAGCCAGGAAGCGTTGTCAAATGTACATTGAATCATGGCATAAATGAAGAAAGAAACAGACACAAAGATTGTGACACAACCTCATTTTCGTCATATGTACTCATAAGAGACATTTATTGAAAGTAGTCATATAAATTGTGGGTGAATTATCTGAATTTGACATGGTATTAGAGCCAACCTTTTGTGAACTTTGCCTCACTTTTGTTCTGAAAAGTTGTCAAAGTGCTGTTACATGCGCATAAAAGAGTTTGATTTGCATAGTTTGTACTAAAGTCTTGTGATGTTCTGTCATGTATGCGATGCCTGGTAAAAGTTTAAACAATTAAATTCAATCCTTTCTTGTTTAATGAAGATAGGGTTGTTATGAAACGTTAGAATTCATTTGTTTCATCTGATTGTGCATAGGTCCTTTGGGAGGGTCTTAAAGGACAACTACTTCCAAGAGCTTGAGGGTCGACTGCATACTATCTACCTATCAGAGGGATATAGTGCAGCAGCTATCATTACACAGGAGGTTGGGGTCACTATACCTTATCTTGACAAGTTTTCAATAAGTCTTCAAAGACAGGTAAGAATATAGATATTGTTTTAGACTTAGGTGGCCAGACCTCAGCAGTGCTTGGTTATGCACCCATGAGAGGTTTGGTATTGAAACTTCTCTGCTGTACTATACGCACCTCTACAAGTGGAAGAGTAGAAATGGATAGTTGAACTTTAACAGATTAACCAGTACAAATATAACTCTTCAAATGTGAAATTTAGTTTTTGAGAATCAATTTATACTTTTGCACACTTTTGCAGGCAATTCGTTTGCACAAGTGCACTTTGCACATGTAGATAAACACAATGCACACAAGCTTCATACATGTACATGTACATGTATACCCTGAATCTACAGGACATCAATGTCCATAGATCCAGTCTCATAGGCTGTCATGTGTATGTACTATGGTTGCTACATTTATGTACAATGTATGTGTAATACGGTCAATTTTGAAACAAGTGAATAATTACCAAATAAATCAGAAATATCTGTACTAAAATGTACCGATATTTCCAACATTAATTTGTAGGCATGATAAAAAAGTATATTTTTCTGAAAATCTAAGGTAATTAAAATGAGATCCAGCTTACAACTCTTATTAAAAGCAGTCCCTTCAGAGTTTCCCGAAACCGCAGTTTAGCTATTAGTTGAGACTGTCACAACAGTGATTTTCAATCGTTTATTGGCTTTTTCGCAAATTTGCGAAAAGCCTTTCTTTTTGTTCTGATTTTTCTTTCTTCTTCTTCTTCTTCTTCTTCTTCTTCTTCTTCTTCTTTTCCCTGGCAAATCCCATAGACTTTGTACACGTCTTTTCTCAACGCCACTTTGCCAATAATCTTTGTCGTACATCATTCAAAGGAAGCATAGGCATAGTCCTTATAGCATAGTTGTGTCCCGAAGAGTGACGTCATGATTACGTCATCATGGGTCACGTGACGTCATCACAAACGTGCATATTTTGAAGTCCTATATCTACTTAACTGTAAGTCCAATTGGGTTGAAACTCGGTATGTAGTTAGACTGGGATGTGTTATAGGTAAAAATTGAGGTGACGTCATGATGACGTCATCGTGCGATTTTATATGATTTTATTAAATTTCTGGACCTTTAAGCCATATCTCACGAATGCAAAATTCAAAATTCTTTTTGTATTATGTTTGTTAAGTAATAGGTATATGTACACAATTTTTGAAAAATGTGTGACGTCATCGTAATGTCATCAAAAATGTGATTTTTTTTTTTTTTTTAAACACATATAAGGGAAAGTCTGATCGTCATGAAACTTGGTGGATAGCTAGATAGTGGTACTGGTATTCAAAATCCAAAATGAAGTCACCATGACGTCATTGCATGATTTTTTATGATATTTTAAATATTTACAATTTCATTTGATTTTTCTGTGCGGCACTTTTGGCATTCATCTTTGTCATACATCGTTCAAAGTCAGCATATGCATTGTCCTTATTGCAAAAATGTGTCTTGAAGAGTGACGTAATGATTACGTCAACAAAATATAAACATTTGCAAAATGCGAAAAAGCCCTGTGTTCTGTTTTCAAACAGACATACAGCTCTAGTTGTTTTTCCCCACTTTGCCATTGAATCTCTGTACAAAAATGTACAGAGATATATTTCAACGGGTAAAAATGATGTTACATGTAAGTAAAAAAATATATATATCCATGATTAATCCACAATGTAGGGCAATGGTATACAAAAAACAGGGAACATTAAAAATGTTTTGATGTCCTTGAAATTTTAAGTAGAAAATAGCATACGTCTATTGTGTTGCCTTTCACTGACCCGCGCCGTAACAAATATAGGGGATTATCCCCAAGAGTCATGACATGTATTATGTTGGTTGAAATTCCTTTTGTGGCCTCCCAAGAAATAATGTTGGTGATCTCAGTTAGCCTGATTTGTTGTCATATAGGGTGAGGGTACCAGTGATATGCTGTGGAATTGTGTCAGGAGGGATTTTCCAAGTCTGTTTTGGCGATCCAGGATCTCCAACAAGGTCAATGCGTGGTGAGTGACAAAACATTCAACCTTTTTTTTGTCCATTTAAAAAAAAAATGAGAATTTTATCAGGCCTGTGTCTTTTATTGTCCATAGCAAGTTTTGATGTTTTTTTCCATTGGAATCGTATGGTAAGATGTTGCTGGGTCTGCAACTTGGCTGGGCAGCCACCATAAGCTTGCTGATGGAGTGGCAAGACTTCACACATCTTCCTGATGTATATCTGTCAAGTGTTTTCTCAAAGGTTCTCAGAAAATGCTGAGAAAATAACTTAAAATTCATCACAAAGTCAGTCATGGAATTGGACCAAAATTGGTAGCAAATACCCCGTGAAATGATTCAGCCTGGTATCGTTCAGAAGAAAATAGTAATTGCAAGTGGTTTTAAAAAGTGTGTGAAGAATACCCATCCACTTGGACTCCCACTTGGACTTTAAAACATCCCTTTTAAAATTAAAATTTTAACACTTTCTTCAAATGTTTTTTCTATCCTAAATGTGTACATCACTCCGCTATCCAAAAAACAATTCTAGAAAAGCTAAATCTGTTTTTGAATCTGTTTTCCCTTTCTTCTATCATGCAACAAATTGACCATGTGTGCTTGAATGCACTTACCGTGTAGTAGCCTCTTCAATGACGCCCATAATTTACACACAAAAACCCCTTTTTATGCCCCGCGGCGAAGCCGAAGGGGCATACTGTTTCCGCCTTGTCCTTCCGTGGGTGTGTGGGTGGGTGGGTGTGTGGGTGAGTGTGTGGGTGTGTGTGTCCGGACAAATCTTGTCAGCGCGATAACTTGAGAAATACTTAACATATGAACTTCAAATTTGGTTTGTGGATTGTCCTTGGTAATCCTAAGAAGCCTTTTGCATTTGGGGCCGAAAGGTCAAGGGTCAAGGTCACAGTGGCTGAAACAATAGAAATTTTGTCAGCGCGATAACTTGAGAAATGCTTAACATATGAACTTCAAATTTGGTTTGTGGATTGTCCTTGGTAATCCTAAGAAGCCTTTTGCATTTGGGGCCGAAAGGTCAAGGGTCAAGGTCACAGTGGCTGAAACAATAGAAATTTTGTCAGCGCGATAACTTGAGAAATACTTTACATAAGAACTTCAAATTAGGTTTGTGGATTGTCCTTGGCAATTCTAAGAAGCCTTTTGCATTTGGGGCCAAAAGGTCAAGGGTCAAGGTCACAGTGACTAAAACAAAAGAAATTTTGTCAGCGCGATAACTTGAGAAATACTTTACATATGAACTTCAAATTTGGTTTGTGTAATGTTCTTGGTAATCCTAAGAAGCCTATTGCATTTGGGGCCGAAAGGTCAAGGGTCAAGGTCACAGTGGCTAAAACAATAGAAATCTTGTATTTATTCTGAGATCATAGGGATTAGGGATTAATTCATATAAAACCTACAGAAGACACTAATGCTGTCCATGAACGTTCCATTTGACCAAGGTACATGTAAGTTGATGTTAGAGTGGTGTTATGTCATGGAAACAGTCACGGTTGCGGGGCATTTGTGTTTGTAAACACACCTGACTTGTTTAACATTTTGTTTAGTCCTTGAAAGTGTCGTCAAAGGTCTTATCTTTACTCCGTAGTTGTTAAAGGAAAGTCGTCAACATGACCAGTTTTTGTGGCCAAATTCATGAAGAAAAACAAAATGGTTAAATCACAACGGTAGTTTCATAAGAGTTGGCTGTATCGCTGTTCATAACTAGGAACTCCACAGGCTTAGAATTACGGTAAAGTCTTTTTTGTTTCTAGGTATTTTAAGCGTTCCGAAGGCAGCTGGAGCAACAGCAAATGGACAGTGTTTTGGTACGGCATCTCCAACCAACAGTTGTCCTACACACTAGTGGAATGGGCCGTCAAGAAGCCACAATCATTTCATGACACAGATGATGAAGATGAATGGACAGCCATCACGGAGTCATTATGAGGTACTAGAAAGATGCATATAAGAATTGATTGTCAGGAAGAATATATTCATGCAGGGACTACAGATTACCAAAGATAATGGCAGTTCCACGTAAGTGGGCACTAGTTATTTGATCTGAAAATGAATTTGTAAATAGAATTTGTACCACTGTCAAGAAAAGACTGACTTGAAGTCAGCATGTTTAGACATGTGTTAGAACTGAGAAGTACGATTTCCAGTTTTAGACACCTGTTTTGCATGGAAATTTCCCCTCGTTTCATGTATGTCTATTCAGTGATGATCTCCCCTTCAATTAACAAGTAATTAAAGGAATGTAGATGTTATCTTTTTAATACATGTATGTAGAATGAAAATAAGTTATTTTCTACTTGTATTCTGTGGGGAGTGGAGTGTCCCAATTTGGGCAATAGGCCCATGTCATAATGGAAGTTCAGAAACCTCCTTCATTGACACTGAATTCACCTTGAAGATTTTTTTTTTAAATTGATATTCTCGCCTGACCTGTTTTATATACCGAGCTGTGGAAAGAAATTATGAAGCTTATAATTGATATTTGCGGCTAGTATTCACTGTACAAAAAGTGAATAGCTTGAACCACTATGGTGTCCCCCTTCCAAACGGTAACCCACAAACAAAGGGATATGATCAAGCTATGAATGCAATGACCATTATTATGGTTTTATCATAAACTAGGGGCAGTAAGCTTTCCATTGATATCTTTATTGCATTCCTCTGGTCATGCATCACTGTCAGAGCTCTTTTGTATTGAAAATGTTGGGGCAAAAAAGTGTGAACACAACCAGACAAGTAACTTCAAGGAATATTCAAGTAAACATGAATAAAACAGGAGTTCCATCAATTGGTGGTCTGGTGTTGCAGCGTGAGTTACATTTTGAACATCAAAGGAATGGTTAATGCATCTTCCTAACAGCACCCCATCCCACAGACTCATTGCTGTCAGGAATCATGCTATGGGATGACCTCCCATCCCAGGTCACTGGATTGGACTCCTTGTGACCCTATTTTTTTTTTTAAATTGGGGGGGGGGGGGATATTTCAAGAACAAGGATTTCAAATCCTTGTTGTGTGCTATGTCGACTTCAGAATTTGTTGTGCAATGTAGCATGGTCCTCTCAATTTGAACTGTATTGTATTGGTATATTTTTAAGTGAGTTATAGTGATCTGTGTGTATTGTACTATATATTGGTTTAGTGGTGTTATGTAATGTCTTTGTTCAGAAATGCCAGTTGAAGCTGAATTTCTGTACTTTTTAGTGTGGATAATAAATTTGAATTTGAGTGGAATTTGAAAAGTCCACTGCCCAACATTCAGGATTTGCAGGTTTGCATTTAGCACGAGGTGGACAATTTACATGATCAACCTGCAGTGGTGAGATGGGCCATGGGAGATATGCACCACCGCTGTGGACTAATTAGGGCAGGCCATGTGCAAGGTGATGCATCTGGCTAAGGTGGTGAATCCTGAACGATTAATATTATCAATTGACAGTAATTATGTTTTGTTCATGTTTGCAAGTTAAATGTCCCTTGATCCTACTTGTTTTATGTCTGGATGTGCTTATCATGTTTTACCTAAAACTGTCCCAAGAAGGTTTTCATTTACCATTTTCAAGACAATATAACTTAGTGATGCGTAACAAGAGAAATGCATCCAAGATATCACTGGAAAGCTTACTGCCCCTAGTTTATGATTGACAATAATAATGGTCATTAAGTAAATAGCTTGGCTACCTTTTTTTTTTTGGGGGGGGGGGGGGAAGACCTTTGGGGGGGGGGGGGATACTGTATATTGCAAGGTTCTTGGTGATTGCCAGTGGGTACATATACATACATTACACACTATAATGAATTGATGGAATGAACTAATAACACTTCATATCGACACATATCAGCTGCAGTAGCTTCACTATCTTTCTGTTGAAAAGGTTTTATCTTGACTGCCACTAGCAAGTGGTTCAGTGTAGGGGCAATCCTGCATGCCATAATTATGAGTCTTTCCATGAAGTTGGGATACGCCTGTAAGATTTTAACACCTTTTGAAGTAAGGTATACAGGGTCACTCAGTGTAAATGTAAGTCATTGATTTTGTTAATTTGTCGGTGACTCTTCAAGATGTTTAAGAAAGTTTCAGGGCATTTGGATGTTTTTCAGCATGATATTTTAAAGAAAACAGACTTTAATAACGATGTAACATTGACACCACAGCATTTTTACCATATTTGGTAATTATTAAAAAAAAAAATTCAACAGTTTTCCCCCAGTTAATTAGCTAAGAACACTAGCATTTTGGAAATTTAATAAGAAGTCTTAGTGCTATCCCAAGAATTCTGCCAATTTCACAAAATTTCAAACAGCGTGACTCTTCAGCATCCACTAGCTGGTTTCTTGGAGTAGCACTAAGACTTTAATTCAAATTTACAAAATACAAGTTAGCAATGGTCTGTGTTGTTCTCAGCTAGGGGAAAGGTGTGCATACAACTTCCAAATTATGGTTAAAAAGGTGTAGTGGCCATGTTACATCGTTAGCCTGTTTTAATATAAAATATTATGCTGAATAGCATCCCAATGCTTAGAAATCTTTTAAAACAGAATGAGTCGTCCAAGCAAACAAGAATACCTTTTTGTCTGCTTTGAGCAACCCCTTATACTTAATCTGATGTCACAAACCCCCCCCCCCCCAAAGAAAGTAAGCATTTTCAACAACTTGTCAGAATGATAAAATGGAAATACAGTGTATAATGTGACCATGAGGCTGTTAGCATAAAAGTATTACTGTTTATAGAAATCCCTGTACATTAATAACCCCTTTTTGGGAAGACCTAAATGATCAGATTATAGACACTTGTTGATGAAATCACATTTTCTTATCCCAATTACATCAGGGGTTGCACAATGTGAAAGTCTGGGATCCGTTCCATCCCAATTACATCAGGGGTTGCACAATGTGAAAGTCTGGGATCTGTTCCATCCCAATTACATCAGGGGTTGCACAATGTGAAAGTCTGGGATCCGTTCCATCCCAATTACATCAGGGGTTGCACAATGTGAAAGTCTGGGATCCGTTCCATCCCAATTACATCAGGGGTTGCACATTGTCAAAGTCTGGGATCCGTTCCATCCCAATTACATCAGGGGTTGCACATTGTCAAAGTCTGGGATCTGTTCCATCCCAATTACATCAGGGGTTGCACAATGTGAAAGTCTGGGATCCGTTCCATCCCAATTACATCAGGGGTTGCACAATGTCAAAGTCTGGGATCTGTTCCATCCCAATTACATCAGGGGTTGCACAATGTGAAAGTCTGGGATCTGTTCCATCCCAATTACATTAGGGGATGCACTATGTCAAAGTCTGGGATCCGTTCCATCCCAATTACATCAGGGGTTGCACATTGTCAAAGTCTGGGATCTGTTCCATCCCAATTATATCAGGGGATGCACTATGTCAAAGTCTGGGATCCGTTCTATCCCAATTACATCAGGGGTTGCACAATGTGAAAGTCTGGGATCTGTTCCATCCCAATTACATCAGGGGTTGCACATTGTCAAAGTCTGGGATCTGTTCCATCCCAATTATATCAGGGGATGCACTATGTCAAAGTCTGGGATCCGTTCTATCCCAATTACATCAGGGGTTGCACAATGTGAAAGTCTGGGATCTGTTCCATCCCAATTACATCAGGGGTTGCACATTGTCAAAGTCTGGGATCCGTTCTATCCCAATTACATCAGGGGTTGCACAATGTGAAAGTCAGGGATCCGTTCTATCCCAATTACATCAGGGGTTGCACAATGTCAAAGTCTGGGATCTGTTCCATCCCAATTACATCAGGGGTTGCACAATGTCAAAGTCTGGGATCTGTTCCATCCCAATTACATCAGGGGTTGCACAATGTGAAAGTCTGGGATCCGTTCTATCCCAATTACATCAGGGGTTGCACAATGTCAAAGTCTGGGATCTGTTCCATCCCAATTACATCAGGGGTTGCACAATGTGAAAGTCTGGGATCCGTTCTATCCCAATTACATCAGGGGATGCACTATGTCAAAGTCTGGGATCCGTTCCATCCCAATTACATCAGGGGTTGCACATTGTCAAAGTCTGGGATCTGTTCCATCCCAATTACATCAGGGGTTGCACAATGTGAAAGTCTGGGATCTGTTCCATCCCAATTACATCAGGGGTTGCACAATGTGAAAGTCTGGGATCCCTTCTATCCCAATTACATCAGGGGTTGCACAATGTCAAAGTCTGGGATCTGTTCCATCCCAATTACATCAGGGGTTGCACAATGTCAAAGTCTGGGATCTGTTCCATCCCAATTACATCAGGGGTTGCACAATGTGAAAGTCTGGGATCTGTTCCATCCCAATTACATCAGGGGTTGCACAATGTGAAAGTCTGGGATCTGTTCCATCCCAATTACATCAGGGGTTGCACAATGTGAAAGTCTGGGATCCGTTCTATCCCAATTACATCAGGGGTTGCACAATGTCAAAGTCTGGGATCTGTTCCATCCCAATTACATCAGGGGTTGCACAATGTGAAAGTCTGGGATCCGTTCTATCCCAATTACATCAGGGGTTGCACAATGTGAAAGTCTGGGATCTGTTCCATCCCAATTACATCAGGGGTTGCACAATGTGAAAGTCTGGGATCTGTTCCATCCCAATTACATCAGGGGTTGCACAATGTGAAAGTCTGGGATCCGTTCTATCCCAATTACATCAGGGGTTGCACAATGTCAAAGTCTGGGATCTGTTCCATCCCAATTACATCAGGGGTTGCACAATGTGAAAGTCTGGGATCCGTTCTATCCCAATTACATCAGGGGTTGCACAATGTGAAAGTCTGGGATCTGTTCCATCCCAATTACATCAGGGGTTGCACAATGTGAAAGTCTGGGATCCGTTCTATCCCAATTACATCAGGGGTTGCACAATGTGAAAGTCTGGGATCTGTTCCATCCCAATTACATCAGGGGTTGCACAATGTCAAAGTCTGGGATCTGTTCCATCCCAATTACATCAGGGGTTGCACAATGTGAAAGCCTGGGATCTGTTCCATCCCAATTACATCAGGGGTTGCACATTGTCAAAGTCTGGGATCCGTTCTATCCCAATTACATCAGGGGTTGCACAATGTGAAAGTCTGGGATCCGTTCTATCCCAATTACATCAGGGGTTGCACAATGTCAAAGTCTGGGATCTGTTCCATCCCAATTACATCAGGGGTTGCACATTGTCAAAGTCTGGGATCCGTTCTATCCCAATTACATCAGGGGTTGCACATTGTCAAAGTCTGGGATCTGTTCCATACCAATTACATCAGGGATCCGTTCTATCCCAATTACATCAGGGGTTGCACAATGTGAAAGTCTGGGATCCGTTTTATCCCAATTACATCAGGGGTTGCACATTGTCAAAGTTTGGGATCCGTTCCATCCCAATTACATTAGGGGTTGCACATTGTCAAAGTCTGGGATCTGTTCCATCCCAATTACATCAGGGGTTGCACAATGTGAAAGTCTGGGATCCGTTCCATCCCAATTACATTAGGGGTTGCACATTGTCAAAGTCTGGGATCCGTTCCATCCCAATTACATTAGGGGTTGCACATTGTCAAAGTCTGGGATCTGTTCCATCCCAATTACATCAGGGGTTGCACATTGTCAAAGTCTGGGATCCGTTCCATCCCAATTACATTAGGGGTTGCACATTGTCAAAGTCTGGGATCTGTTCCATCCCAATTACATCAGGGGTTGCACAATGTGAAAGTCTGGGATCCGTTCCATCCCAATTACATTAGGGGTTGCACATTGTCAAAGTCTGGGATCCGTTCCATCCCAATTACATTAGGGGTTGCACATTGTCAAAGTCTGGGATCTGTTCCATCCCAATTACATCAGGGGTTGCACTATGTCAAAGTCTGGGATCCGTTCCATTCATGTGAACAGTTCAAATGTTCACAACATTTGCAACATATTTCTCCAATTTGATATACAAAAAAGAGAAGATTATAGGCTCACTCAATGACGGCCATCTCTGTAGGAGAACTGCAACTGCATATTTTACGCAATCAAGCACGCATTGCACAGTGTTGAAAATGTTCCAAACACGCACACTTGTTGCTTGAAATGTGGTCGAAATGACGCAGCCGATGCGCGTTATGTACGTTGGCGCTCAAAATGCCGATGCATGTGAATGGTCTGTAGGAAATAAAGTCATTTGAATGAGACCTATTAAAACAGGCAATATATTAGTGGGAGACTGAGAGTTTAATGTAACATGCTGGTATGTCCCCTCAGTGGTAATTTCCTTGTTTTATGAGAGCATTCTCATAATAAAACTAGAACATGTATGATTATATAAGGTTTGAGGGTTATAGTGGTATATTTTAGTGGTGTATTTTAAAGAGCAGAAGCACAATGTTTTTTTATAGATTTGTGTTACTGGATTGCAATTATAATGATTAACTTTAAATATTGTTCATTTTTGTATGCAAAGGACATTTGATTTGGTGCAGATGTCTACATTTATACACATTTAAGAAGCAAAATGTATTGACTCCTAGTTGGTTGTATTAAGTGGATTGCAAATGGAAATCAGCAATTCAGTCTGCATTGCCTACATTGTACGTTAACAGTGCATTTCAAGCATCGGCAAGTACATGGGCTTGTTGTGTTTAATCAAGAGGTTGTAGTGTAATAGAGGAACAAGTTGTCTTGCCACCTC